CTGTTGAGAAGCATCTAGGCTGTTTCTAAGATTTAGCTATTACAAATTATGCTGCTATAAACACGGGTGTGCATACATTCCTGTGGTATATTGCTTTTGATTCTTTGGGGAAAATACCGAGAAGGGGAAGAGCTGAGTCAAATGGAACCTCTAGTTTTAGTGTTTGAGGAATCTCCACACTGATTTGGTTGCACCATTCTACATTCCCACCAGCAGTGGAGACAGATTCCTTTTTCCCCATAGCTCCAACAGCATTTGTTATTGATTGATTCTTGATAACAGCAATTCTTTCTAGAGTATGATGGAATTTCACTGTTGTTTTCATGTGCATCTCTCTATTGACCAGTGACATTGAACATTTTTCATATATTTATTTGCTGTTTGTAGGTCTTCACTAAAGAAGTGCTTGTTCATTTCAGATGCTCATTTCTGGATTCTTTACTGTCATATTTCATCAGTTTACAGAACATTTAAATTACTGGCTGTAACAAGTTCAGTGGGCATGAGTAAATTTAGAAACAAAGGCATCTCTAAACAGTTGGAAGAAGGTAATGGGGCATATTAGAGAATGGCCTACTTCATATTACAGAATGGCAGGCTCAATCCTAGGTTAAACTTAGGGACAGAATTGGTTAAGCAAAGCTCAGTTGTGACACTTTCTGAACCTATACTTTCCATACTTTGTTCATTTTACAGATGGCATCCAGGGTATCTACATGGTTTACCCAGAGTCAAAAACTATTTAGTGGCCAGGTTACTATACTGACTCCTTAGCCAGTATTTTCCCAGGGCACTACCAGAGGACTAATTTCCTGATACTTTATTGTTCTTGGCTGACTGTGGCTAGAAGTAAAAATTCAGGTTGATGATGTACTTAGTTGATTATCATAAACTATCTGTCTTGATACTTACTTTACCCATAGTTTTAGTCTTATAGTACTCCCTCCTTAATCTGTGGTTTTACTTTCCGAAAGTAGTCAACCTTGATCTAAAAATCTCAAGTGGAAAATTCCAGAAATAATTTCTAAGCTTTAAATAATTATATTATTTTTTACAATTTCTATTTTATTATTGCTGCTATTAATCTCTTACTATGCCTGATTTATAAATTAAACTTTAGCTTAGGTACGTGTGTATAAAAAAAGTATGTATAGAGTTCAGTACTATATGCAGTTTCAGGCATCCATGGGACATCTTATTACACAGATGCTTCAGATAAGGGAAGACTATTACATTAAATAATATTTCTTTCTTAAATTCTTTCTGATATTAAAATGGACCACTTATTATAAAGAATAAATTCAGGTCATGAGTGGCTATGCAGAAGATTTTTTTATACACCTATAGTCGCACTTGCCCTCCTTACTGATCATAGCCCCTTACTGTTCACAGCTACTTTTGTTGATATGAAGGCAATTTTCTCTTCCGTACTAAGGAGTGAAACTAAGACCTTGCACTGAGTTTTTTATTACAGTCTTTTTTATTTTGAGATAGAGTCTCAATAAGTTACCCAGGCTGGCCCTGCACTTGGAATCCTCCTACCTCAACCTCCTGAGTAGAGATAATAAGCTTATGCCACCATGCATGTCTCTGAAGGCAGGTTTTAAAGGGCGAAGGCCTCTGAAGCAGTACTACTTTGGGGCTGAGCCAGGGGGATAAGATTTATATTTACTTGATCACTTTCACAAATCATAGATGCTAACTTTTCTAGTACTAAATTGGTCAAATTTTTTTAAAAATCACTTTCCTTTTCTGTTTTCTTTCCAGTGCTTCCCTCCTGGCCCACCCAAATTGATGAAGGATTTGATGTTGCATAGAGACAAAATGTACCTATAGCTGGGCAGTGAAAAATAAAATCAGGGCTGGTGATGTGGCTCAGTGGTAGGCGTACTTGCCTAGCATGCATGAAATTATGGATTTAGTTCCCAATATTACAAAAACAAAATAAAATAGGATGAATATGAAGGAAGGGAGAAAAATATTGGACTAAAATCCCTTAAAGTAAGATAGCTTTGCTATTATTGAACAGTGCATTTAGCTCTGAACTTCCTCTATGACATATTGAACCAAGACATTTGTGTTCACATTATTTTTATCTACTAAAGGAAAATATGTCAGATCGTCCACAGAACGTTGTTACCAGGCATGTTATTCTAAGTCATTGATTCTTTTGATACCAGGGATTGAACTCAGGACCTTGCACTTGGCGAGGCAGGCAGCGGAACCACTGAGCTAAATCCCCAGCACAGTGATTCTTCATATAAAGAAAGCTGAATAACCACAGGAGATTCATTCATACAAGAATTTGAGTTTGAGAAGCTCTACCACAGTCTTTTTTATTGCTGTTACTGAAGAACAAAAGCTCAGAGATGGAAGTAATTTGCCAGTCACAAGCTTCTTGGTGATAGCTTATAAAGGCGTAAAGCCAGTGTCTCAGTACCAATCTGGGCCTGAGAGCTGCCTCCCACAGATACAGAAAGAGGTGGTACTATGCTTGGTATGATTCAGCACTATAACTAGGAACACAGACTGTGATGCCGGCCATGGAATTTAGTTCTGATCAAATCAGAATGTGTGGAAGAGAAATTTCTTCAAGGGCCTTCTTGTTTTACTGTGAGACTGGTCCTCTCTCCCAGAATGTCAGATTGCCATGGAGAAGAACTAGGATAATAATTCTTTACCCTATTTTAAAATACTTTGTCAGATCTTCCCTTTGTTTAATTTGTGTGCAGTCAAATTTATATTTTTGCTACAGTGAGTATATAAGAGAACTTTGGGCCTGGGCCTTAAATTTAAGCTGCATTCAGGGATCAGGCAGGTGCAAAAAGCTGCTTATGACAGCAGCCAGATATATGACAAAAGTAGGATGATCTATAGTAAACGAAAGGGCCAGTGTCTTCTCGCAGTAGGGCAGCTGCTTCTAAGCTCTAGCTCATTTTTGTCATGTGAAAAATGTAGTTGTGCAGTTGACCAGATATTCCAGCATTTTGAAAGAAGGCAGAAGCCTGGATTATTAAGTTAAATCTCCTAATTTTAAATGTTGGCAACTCTTTTCTTCCACTTGCTCAAGCCAGAAACCTTGGAGTTTGTCCTTCATTCATTTCTTTCAAAACCCACATCTAATCCATCAGGAAATCCTGTTGGCTCTACCCTCAAAATATATTCAGAATTTGACCGCTTCTTATGAATCTTTATTACCCTACTTCTGTCCAAGTCATCAATGTCTCTCTCTGGGATTATTGCAGTAGCCTTATAACTGGTCTCTCTGCTTCTATATTTTCTCCTGCAGTCAGACAGACTTTGTTGAATCACAAGTTAGATCATGTTGCTCCTCTGCTTATAATCCCCTAAAGTCTTCCCATGTCATTCAGTCAGGAAGCCAAGTTTTTACCAATGACACATGACGTTTTCTGATTTCATCCCTAATAGCCTTAGGGGCCTCCTGACTGTTCCTGGCTTATGCCTGCTCATTTCTTCCTCATAACTTTTGCTGTTGCTATTCTCTCTTTCTCGTGTATCTCCATGGCCCTTACTCCTTCAACCCTTTGGCTCCAATGTCATCTTCTAAGTAAGGCCACCTTTGCACACTGTGTAAACATATTACACCCGTAAACACACACACACAACACAACACACACACACACACCCTTCTTTCCTTTGCCTTTTCTCTTTAGCACATATGTTCTAATGTCTAATATATTTACATAATTCCTTTCTTACCTGGTATCTGCATGTACATTCTATAAAAGTAAGTACTTTGTAGGATTTTGTATATTTATTCACTACTTAGCATCTAGATCACTTAGCATCTAGAAATATACCTCATACATATCAGGTACTAAATAAGTGTTTGGAGAATTAATGAATCTTCAAAAACAATTTGTTTAAACTTTGAGCCAAACAGAAATTCTTTAATGAGTCAAAGCCCTTTAATGGGCCAAACTCAGCCTATAACTTTTTACCCTAGTGTCAAACAAGAGCAGGTACTTTTTTTTTTTTTTTTTTTTTTTTTCTTTTTTGAGCAGGTACTTTTCTAGTGAGACCTTGAAGCTACTGCTTGATAAACCATAGAAGAGCTCTTGTATTCCACTTGTACATGTTGTATCCTGCTTCCACTCTTGTGAACGTACATGTGTGTTTATGACTTTATGCCTACATATTATTGTTTGACCAATTCACTGCTGTCTAGAATTTGGAGAATGTTATATGAATTATTTCAGCCTCCTTACTGAACTTCCAAACTTCCAAAGGTAGGAAACATTTGAACAATTTGGCATGCTTTCTACAACACAGAGTAGAGTAGAGTGAGTTAGAAGAAGAGCAACTACAGAAGGGAAACCTTGTGTAAAGACCTTTGATACTTTAGAAGAAAACAAGTAAAACTAAAGTGAGAATGACAGTAGAAAGGAGTTTAAAAAGATATTATAGAGATGCCAGGAATGGTGGTGCACGCCTGTAATCCCAGCACTCAGGAGGCTGAGGCAGGAGGATCGATGTGAGTTCGAGACCAGCCTGGGCTACATAGTGAGTTCCAGGTCAGTCTCAACTACATACTGAGACCCTGTCTCAAAAAAAAAAAAAAAAATAGATATTAGAGAGGTAGGCAGAACAAATCTTTCAGGCCATGGAAGGAGTTTGGATGGTTCTCTTAAATTCAGTGGGAGCTGTTAATTAAAGTCTTATTAAAGTTTTAAAATACTGGAATAATGCAGTTGGATTTATATTGATTAAACATAGGGAGCCAATAATAACAACAACAAAACAAAAACAGCTGACACTTGTGCCAGACAGTATATTAAGTGCTTTATAGAAATTATTTTAACTAATTTTCACATCACTTCATCAAGTTACATATTATCCCCATTTTGGAGGTGGGGAAAGTGAGACACACCTAAGTTCAGTAATTGTGTAAAGTCCCAAGTTAACCTGTATGACCTAGACCATTATTTTTCAGCCATGCTTTTAGTAAGTATGCTTTAATCCTTCTATTTCTCATCCAGTGATTGATGATGAGCAGTTGGAAGACCTTGGTTATATTCCAGGTAAGAGGTAGCAATTGCTACAGCTTTCTATTAAGATGTTTTATTAATAGTTCATTGTAAGTGTAATGCTTTGTCCAGTGACAAGTGTAGGATTTAATTCATGTTGAAAAATAGATCTTAGCAAAGACTGAGGAAATGTATTTTATTGCCAATTATAGAATGTTTAAATATTTTTTTTAAATACTGTGCTCTCAGGAGGCACCTAGTAAATAGTTTTGCATTATAAAATGTAAAGATAAAAGATAGTGATGGACTGGGTATGCTGGTGCATGTCAGTAATCCCAGCACTGGGAGGCCGAGAGGATTGCTGTGAGCTCAAGGCCAGCCTAGGGTACATAATGACATCCTGTCTCAAAAAGAGGACCGTGATGGAACATGGTTTATTTCCAGTGGTGAAATACTTATGGCAGTTTATCCAATTAGATAATAATCTATAGATTCTTGTCAATAATAATAGCATAATGATAACTGAGAGTCAGTTATTTCTTCAAGAAGAAATGGCTCTGTAAAGCTATCACACCAACTATAATAGACCCAGAAGCCATTATTGTGAACTGTTTACAGTGACAATTTTTTAAAGACACCTTTTTGCCAAAATTTAACCTAAAGATATATCCCAGTGATGTTTTACAGTATGTCAATTCATTGTAAGTTATTTTAGCATCTAGACTCAACTTTGTTTGTTTAAATTTTGTTATTTGACTGAAAAAATTAAATTTTTACCTTTGTAAGTAAAATATTAAAGTTGATTTTTAAAATCTTAAAAATAAATATAATTATTTGCCGAAAAACAATACCTGACACCCACAATTTAAAGGAGAGGTTTACTTGACTCACAGTATGTAGAGGTTTCGGTACATACATAGTCCACTGGCTCCAAGGCAGGGAGGCATGGGCAGAGGAAATAGCAAAGGAAATGATGCTCACATAATCGTGGCTGGGAAGCAGAGAATAAAGGAGCTGAAAGGCAAATAAATCCCTCCAGGCCATGCCCAGAGTGACCCAGCTCTTCTGACCTACTCCCCCTCTGAACAACGAATCACCTACACCTTCCAAAGGGCCCTCCTATGATCTTAGGAGGTTTTAGGGGGACATCTACATATAAACCATAGCACTATTTTTATGGAAAATAAGCTTCATTTTAGTCACATAGCACTGCTCATTAAGTTATTGTGATTGCTCATTGAACTAAGGTCCTACAATTACATTATTTTTAAATTGTATCCATTTAGTTACATAAATAAAATGCAAATTGCTGTATTTGTATCCTTTGCAAAGTTACCATCACATTAAAAGGCATGGTGTTTTTGTTTCTAAAAAAATATAGTTTATATATACTTAGACTATACCAAATGTACTTAATTGGAATTACCAAAAGATAGACCTATTCCCTGAGCTCAAGGTTTATATTTCTAATCAAGACAAAAGAATCTATATTGAGCTGTTTAATGACATTTCATGGGAGATAGAACAAGACTTAGCTTAATATATGAGGATAGTTAAACATTCCTCATGATTTTTCTCTAGCTTCAAAATTTGTGAGACAGATTACCTCTTAGAAGGATTTTGTGGTTTAGCTTGTCACCAGGCTGCCTGATGACCAAAAAAGAACAGATTTTTAAGTCATAAAAACATCGATGATATCATCAGTCAAAGCAAAATCAAATAACATGTAATCTAGAAAGTTGAGATAAAGGATGAGTTTTGGAAAATCTTGGCAAAGGCAGAGGCAGCCCAGATGTGACCTAAGTGCTAACTACAAAAAAAACTTAACAGCACTTTGTAGCTGTCTCACAACTGCATTTCATTTTTGTAGTATACAGTGGAAAGCACAGAAGTAGAGAAATAAAAAACTGTAAAAGACCAGAGAGAGAGCTGCTTTTACAGGAGAAAAAAAAAAAAAAAAAAAAAAAAAAAAAAAAAAAAGCCAAGACTCAGAAAGTGCTAACAACTTGCTCCAAGTCAGACAAGTATAATTAATGGTAGGGCTGAAAGTGGAATTTGGAACTCCAGTTTTCTAGTTCAACATTCTTTACTCTTTGGGGGCGTTTTGACTGTATAGACATTAGAGTTATACCAAAATGAAAAGAGTTATATTGGTGAGAAAGGGATATCCCTGCCACAAAAGTGAATAACTGGGCCAAGCTGGTTGCTATAGTTTGAATTTTTCCCTCAAGGTTCATGTTAGAAACTTACTCCCCAGTGCATCAGTATTGAGAGGTGGGTCCTTTTGAGAAACAACAAAGTCCTGAAGGCTCTGCTCTCCCAAGGTGAGACATGCTATTGTGGGAGTGTTTTCCTGATAAAAATATACTTCCTTTCCCATGCTCTCTTTCCCTTCTACCTTCTATTCTGGGATGATGCAGCAACAAGGCACTAACAGTTGCTGGCACCCTAGTAGTGGCCTTCCTAGCCTCCAGAACCAAGAGAAATAAATTTCTAATGTTTATAAATTCCCCAGTCTGTGGAATTTTGTTGCAGTAGTACAAAACAGACTAAGCCAGTGGACACTGGCTACCTGAAGTGGATGTTGATTTTCCATGAAGGAAACTTACATTTAATGTTCCCACAGCTTTTCCAATTCTAATTTCAGTAACTTTTTGATAACTTTAATCATATTTACCCATACGCTGTAATTATCTTCTTTACTTACTTAATTTTTTATTCTCATTTGTGCTTGTCTCAACTGCTTAAATTCCGTTGAAACTTCTTTCCCACTGAACACTTGTTCGAAGTTTCTTATAATGCAGTATAACCAAAAAAAGCTGGGCAAGACTCCTAGCACTAGTCCTAGCTTGGAATGATGAGTAATCACTGTATCCATAACCAATTTAACCTTTTACATTTGACCAGTAACTGCTGATTACCCTACCATACAAATCAGTATATAGTTAGAAAAAGGGACATTTATGGTAATAAAGTCAATCAGCTTCCCTTCTCGATAGCAAGGACTTGGTATGGTGAAAGCTTTGGTCAATTCATAATCCAATAAGGTAGAAATGATTTTTAAAGTAAACCTTTTTCTTTACTGTGCAATTATATCACTAATCTTACATTAGGATGAAAGCATGTAGATTCATTTTACAGTACAAAGCTTGATTAGACATGTATTTGCTAGGTGATGTCTGTATAAATATAAGTATCTCTACCACTCTCTTCTGAATATAAAAATGATACATGCTCATCCTGGTACCCTCCATTGCGCAGCTTTTAGATCCTTTTCTCCTCTACTATATTTTAAAAGATATTTGCCCAGATATCAGCATTTTTACACTATGTACTGAAATGTCGTATTCGTAATTTCCAGAAAACAACTTATTCAGCTTCATTTGCCCTGAGTAAATCTTTTAACTTATTACAATAATAGACACAATATCATTAATTCTCCTCAAAATACTTCCTCCTTGCTTCAGATACACTCATTTGCCCCTTGCTGAGATGCTTCCATGGATCCTGAATTTATTTGGGAGGAAGGGTGAGGAGGAGATGGTGGTATAATTTTGCGTATTATCATAGTGAGTCAGTGAGTGAATGCAGGGCTCCTCTTTTCAAGCATAAAGGAAATTGAGAACCCAAAAAGGGAAATCCATGCTCTAGAATACTTAAAATTATTCCAAGTCAACATCAAAATAAGACCTGAGACCCACACCTCTTGGCTCCTCTGTCACTTATTTTTTTACTGTACTATTTCACTACCCAGTGACAGGCCATATTTTCTCTCCAAGGCTGAGTTGAGGACAAGAAGGCAAACAGAAGCACAAGCAGTGCATGTTATATATGTGTTTGCTTCATTTCTTCCAAGAGAAGAACCTATGACAGTATCAACAAACCTTTTCCATAGAGTCAGATAATAAGTATTTTATGTTTGCCAACCATATGGTCTGTATCAGCTATTCAACTCTATCATTGTAGCAGCCATAGACAATATATAAATAAATGAGTAAGGCTATCTTTGAATAAAGTTTTATGTAGCAACTCTTCAGCTATATCATTGTAGCAGCCAGAGGTAATGCATAAATGAGTGAACATGGTTATGTTCCAATAAACTTTTATGTATGGACATGGAAACTTGAATTAATTATCTTTCATAAGATAACCAAATTTTTTTTCTTTTTTGTAAAGTATAAAAATCATTCTTCTAGAATACACAAAAATAGGTTGCAGAGCATTTGGCCTGCTACCATAATTTTCTAACCCATGACCTGGGGTAATAGATAATTGAATGTGAGGAAGAATGTAGGTGTTAGCATGCAGAAAGACAAAATAGGATGCCTGAAGTGCTGATGATTTAAACGCGGTAGGGAAAATTACCAATGGATATGAATAATCAGGGAGAATAGATGGTTGTGCTGACCCTTGATTCTATTTTAGGGAATCTCATTTGGTACTCAGACAAAGTCCAGTTGATTATTTTGATTTACTCTCTTAAGATTTATGAAAGGCAGGTTTTAGCTGGCCTTAGAGACGAAAAAAAAAACAAGAAGAGGACATATGACTTAGATGTTGCTATAGGTATGCAGCAACAAGAGGACTTATACCTTAAGGGTTACCATAAGGTACGCAGAGCCAACAGAACATTTTGTTAGGAATGGTAGCTGGTGGTTTTCATCATCACTGAATCATTGTGAAATCTGTTGTAGGCAAGGAGGAGGCAGTTAGCTGAATTCTTTAGCAAAAACTACTTTATGATACTGTAAAGCTTTCACAGAAAATGTCTTTTGCTGTACTAAAAGAAAGCATAAAAATCCCTTTTTTTATGACATAAAGGCTATATTGATACATTTTAAATTAAAAAGAGCCTGTAAAAGTAGCATAAATGATTTACAGGCAGGTAAATACAGCTTTTGCTAATTTGATTTTTATAACAACAGAGCATTAGTAATTATAGTACTGATGACATTGATGATAATAATTAACCATTCTAAGGAGCTCCTATCTGCTTTTGCCAGCCATATGTTCTCAGTAGTAACTGAACTCATTTATCTCATTTACTCCCTACA